ACCCTGTCATTTTTCACCCCCCCCCCCCCCCCCCACACACACCCTGCTTTGTGGATTTAGGCGCACGGGGTTTGGCCTTCGCCCGTCCTGAGGCCGAACTGAGGGGGAGAAGTGCCTCATCAGAAAACCCTCTTGACTACTGCGGATGTTAGAACGGTTTAGGGTTGTTAGGGTTTGTTATATAGTAAACCATACGGTTCTCTGATTATGGGAACTTAACAGTACTTAACAGTAGCGCAATGCAAACGACTAGGGCTAAAGAGAGCCCACGATGTAGAATTCTTCCGCACGTGCAGCCCTGACAGTGGACTTTCTTCTAGCAGGCAGAGTACCCTAAGCCTCAAACCCCAAATCGTGGAACCCTAAACCCTAAACCCTAAACCCTAAACCCTAAACCCTAAACCCTAAACCCTAAACCCTAAACCCTAAACCCTAAACCCTAAACCCTAAACCCTAAACCCTAAACCCTAAACCCTAAACCTAACCCTAAACCCTAAACCCTAAACCCTAAACCCTAAACCCTAAACCCTAAACCCTAAACCCTAAACCCTAAACCCTAAACCCTAAAACCCTAAACCGTAAACAACCCCAAACCCCAAACCCCAAACCCCTAACCCACAACCCCAAAAACCCAAACCCCAAACCCCAAACCCCAAACCCCAAACCCCAAACCCCAAACCCCAAACCCCAAACCCTAAACCCTAAACCCTAAACCCTAAACCCTAAACCCTAACATACGTCCCAAGGTTCCTTGAATGCTCAGCTGAGGAAATAGCGACGCTGTGGCTCCGTAGACCTCGCACCGCGACACTCGCTTGCAGCTTCACCGAAAGCCGTAGACTCGTCATTGCGGGTTTAGGGTTAGGGTTTCGGGTTTAGGGTTTAGGGTTCAGCATCTCAAGTTCGAGCATTTACTAGGCCAGTAGTGTGTTCAGGCAACGGAAAAAAACCCACCCGCCCAAAGAATCCCATAACATTAAGAAAATATAAGGTTTTCATCCTACCCAAGTCAGACACGTTTTCAACTGACCAACACCCGTTGCGGGAGGAAGGGGGCTGGAGGGGCAGGGGGGGAAGGAAGGAGGCGGGTGGGGGGGGTGGGGGTGGTGGGGGGGGGGGTGGGGGGGGGGGTGGGGGGGGGGGGTGGGGGGGTGGGGGGGGGGTGGGGGGGGGGGGGGGGGTGGGGGGGAGGGGAGGGTGGGGGGGGGGGTGGGGGGGCGGGTGGGGGGGGGGGGGTGGGGGGGGGACCCCACAAAAATTTTCGGACCTGACCAATTTTTTTCGGACCTGACCCGCTAATTTTCGGACCTTGCCCGCTAATTTTCGGACCTTGCCCACTAATTTTCGGACCTTGCCCACTGATTTTCGGACCTTGCCGGCTAATTTTCGGACCTTGCCCGCTAATTTTCGGACCTTGCCCGCGAATTTTCGGACCTTGCCCGCTAATTTTCGGACCTTGCCCGCTAATTCTCGGGCCTTTCCCGGGTCCGAAAATTAGCGGGCAAGGTCCGAAATTTAGCGGGCAAGGTCCGAAAATTAGCGGGCAAGGTCCGAAAATCAGTGGGCAAGGTGGTGGGTCAGCGGGCAAGGTCCGAAAATTAGTGGGCAAGGTCGTGGGGCAGCCAATGGACCTTGCCCACTGATTTTCGGACCTTGCCCGCTGATTTTCGGACCTTGCCCGCTAATTTTCGGACCTTGCCCGCTAATTTTCGGACCTTGCCCGCTAATTTTCGGACCTTGCCCGCTAATTTTCGGACCTTGCCCACTAATTTTCGGACCTTGCCCGCAAAGCCATTAACATTTATATTATATATGAAAGAGTGGTTTAGGGTTATAACCCATAAAACTAGTAGGGGATCAGGGAATGAGGTACCAGAATACTCCTTTCAAGGGTTTTGCGGCCTAATTCCCTCATTCCTTACTAAGAACCCGGATGTTTAAGGGTTAGGGTTCCCTGAATCCTCAGCCCTAAGCAAACCCTAAAACCGAAGCCTGAAACCTGAAACCCTAAACCCTAAACCCTAGGTTTCTAGGTACATCCCTTATGGCTATCAGTTAGGACCCTACACCCTACACCCTACACCCTAACGCCCTAAACCCTAAGCCCTTATAAACCCGAAACCCTAAGCCCTCAACCCTAAACCCTAAACCCTAAACCTTAAACCCTAAACCCTAAACCCTAAACCTTAAACCCAAAACCCTAAACCCTAAACCCTACCCTCTAACGCCTAGGACGCTTCACGTCTTCATGGACTCCTGCTTCGCTGGCGCCTGGGCCGAGGCTGAGAAGGGGTTCCTAACCCTAAACCCTAAACCCTAAACCCTAAACCCTAAACCCTAAACCCTAAACCCTAAACCCTAAACCCTAAACCCTAAACCCTAAACCCTAAACCCTAAACCCTATTCTGGAAACCGACAAAATTCCGCAACCCTAGGCATCAACTCTCCGAGGCCTTAAGAGTACCTACGCTCTGAACCCTACAGTTTCTGGTTCTTTCAGGGTTAGGGTTTAGGGTTTAGGGTTTAGGGTTTAGGGTTTAGGGTTTAGGGTTTAGGGTTTAGGGTTTAGGGTTTAGGGTTTAGGGTTTAGGGTTTAGGGTTTAGGGTTCTGAAGGCTAATTTATGTTCAACCTTGGGATGTTCCCCCTTATACTAGCAGTTCTTCTGTGGGCTTTTAGTATTCTCATACCTACTAAGGACACCCTAAACCCTAAACCCTAAACCCTAAATCCTAAACCCTAAACCCTAAACCCTAAACCCTAAACCCTAAACCCTAAAAGGAGGAACATCAAAAGTTCAACCAAGAGTTCGAAGCTTAGAGCTTCGTTCATTGGTTCCAGGGTCTCTTCCGGGGCTTCAGGGGGTTTAGGGTTTAGGGTTTAGGGTTTATAAGGGCTTAGGGTTTAGGGCGTTAGGGTGTAGGGTGTAGGGTCCTAACTGATAGCCATAAGGGATGTATCTAGAAACCTAGGGTTTAGGGTTTAGGGTTTAGGGTTTAGGTCTAGGGTTTAGGGTTTAGGGTTTAGGGTTTAGGGCTTCTGGGAGACTGTAGGGGATTGAGGTGCTCAGACTTGGGAGGGGCATGGGTAGATTTATAAGTAGCATTATAAGTGCCCGCAAATAGCATTATAAGTGCCCGAAAAAAGTTTATAATTGCAGTAACTATACTTACAACCCTAAACCCTAACCCCAACCCGCGCTCTACTTACAACTACCATGAGCCTCCAAGTAGAGCCGCGGCTCGGCCCTGGAAGTGCCTGTCAGGAAGCCTGTCGCCTGGGCCCGGACAAAAAGATCGCCGTCTTTGCGGCCTGCCAGGCACCTAAGCAGAAACATGGGGGCCTCCCCTCCTTACCCTCCTCATTGGCAGTTTAAAGTAGGGTTTAGGGTTTAGGGTTTAGGGTTCAGGGTTTAGGGTTTAGGGTTTAGGGTTTAGGGTTTAGGGTTTAGGGTTTAGGGTTTAGGGTTTAGGGTTTAGGGTTTAGGGTTTAGGGCCGATGTAGAGTTTAGGGTTTAAAGTTCAGGGTTTCAAGCTGCAGATGGTGAGTGCATTTTAGGTTGCCATGTGCATCGAATCTTCGAGCTGTAGGTCGTCTGAGAGATGTTTGGCGACAACACAAAGATCATGAGAATCATCATGTGCTTATGATTCGGCTGGCCACTCTTCATATGAAGTAGGGTATGTATTACTGTTGTTGGTGAGTGTATATAAGGTTCCTTTTAAGATTGGTGAGTGTATATACCTGGTGTCCTTTTGGGGGTACAAGAAATGTATACCCTACCTACTTCACATGATGACTCATACTCCTGTGTGCAATCATTACCATCAAGCTTCTTTTCTTGTTCCGTCATGTTTCTTCTTCATCTCACATATAGCCAGCGATGCTGTTGTCGTTCACATCATTAAGTTGCTCTTGTTTCTTGTTGCCATTGGGAGCTCCTGGAAGGCGGACGAAGAGGCGCCTGGGGCGCGGTACTTGACGGTTCACGGGCAGTTCTGAGGCATACGTACCCCCAAGGGCTCTAGACCCCTAAACTCTAAACCCTAAACCCTAAGCCCTAAGCCCTAAGCCCTAAGCCCTAAGCCCTAAACCCTAAACCCTAAACCCTTCAAGTCAAGGGCTCTAAACCCCCAAGACCCTGAATCTGAACTTACAGCAACTCCTGCAAGCTCTCCAGCTATTGCTTGGGATGTTCCCCCTTTTGCTATCAGTCCTTCATAAGGATTCGAATAGGGGTACTAGAATCCCCATGGAGGGCTGTTAGTCCTGAATAAGGATTCTAATATAGGGAGTACTATAATCCCCATTAAGGGATGTTAGTCCTTACTAAGGGATTCTTACTAGGGAGTACGAGAATCCCCATTGAGGGCTGCTAGTATATGGGGGGGGGGGGGGGGAACATCCCAAGCTATGGCTGTGATGGTTATTGCTGTCATGTTTGTTTAGGGTTTAGGGTTTAGGGTTTAGGGTTTAGGGTTTAGGGTTTAGGGTTTAGGGTTTTAGGCGTTCTTGTTGTTGACGATTGCTGCGACCTTTGTTAGTTGTGTTGTTGGCATTGTTGCGGTTATTGTTACTGCTACAGTTGCCCCATGGTTCTGATTGTTGTCACATTTTGCTGCTGTTAGCATCTTTTGCTGATTGTCAATGCTGATAGTGTTGTGGTTGTGGGCTGCTGGTTGTTTTGTTGGTTGTGTTGTTGTTTGTGGGTGGTTGTTGCTGCTGCTGCTGCTGCTGCCGCCGCCGCCGCCGCTGCCGCTGCCGCCGCTGCTGCCGCTGCTGCCGCTGCTGCCGCTGCTGCCGCTGCTGCCGCTGCTGCCGTTGCTGCCGCTGCTGCCGCGGCTGCCGCTGCTGCCGCTGCTGCTGCCGCTGCTGCTGCGGCGCTGCGCTGCTGCCGCTGCTGCCGCTGCTGCCTGCCGCTGCTGCCGCTGCTGCCGCTGCTGCCGCTGCTGCTGCTGCGCCGCCGCCACCGCCGCCACCGCCGCCTGCTGCCGCCTGCTGCTGCTTGCTGCTGCTTGCTGCTGCTTGCTGCTGCTTGCTGCTGCTTGCTGCTGCTTGCTGCTGCTTGCTGCTGCTTGCTGCTGCTCCTGTTGCTGCCCTAAACCCTAAACCCTATCAACCCCATAAACCCTCTAAACCCTATAAACCCCCTAAACCCTAAACGCTGTGGTTGCTGTTGTCCCAAAACCCGAAACTCGCAACCCGAAACCCTAAACCCTAAACCCTAAACCCTAAACCCTAAACCCTAAACCCCTATCCCTAAACCGTGTGAATGTCTTCTTTTTACAGCCATTCACATTCGATCTCGACAGGCTGGTGAGTCTAGGGAAGGCGGCAACTTCACGCGCAGGACCTTCGGCCATTTTGCAGGATCCTTCAGGTTTAGGGTTTAGGGTTTAGGGTTTAGGATCCTTAGGGTTTCAGGGGTTTGGGCATTGGGGGTTTCGGGCGCCGTGGTGCAACACGTGCAACCAAATGCCCACCCCCCCTCCCCGCTCCCCCCCCCTTTCTTCCATACTCCAGAAAAGACCCTATAAGCCCGAAACCCACCATGAGCCACGTTTTGCCAACGAACAAACCCCAAACTTTGGCCCTAAACCCTAAACCCTTAAACCCTCAACCCTGTTGGGCTAAGCTGTAGACAATGTCAATGCTCACCCTGAACCCCCCACGTCCTTCTAAGGCTTTGAAGAAGTCTGCTTCGTCTGCTGCTTTTGGTTTTGCAATGCGTTTTTGTTCCGTGTCTGTGTTGCTAAACTTCGTTTTCAGGGTTTATAGGGTTCAGGGTTTAGGGTTTCTAGGGTTTAGGGTTTCTAGGGTTTAGGGTTTAGGGCTACCGACCCAACTCTCTCTCTCTGGGGCCCCTAAAGCTGGACTCGAGGATTCGAGACGTCGTGCAGACTGGGCAGAAGTCCGAGGATCAACTCTTGGAGACTTCGTCGCCCACTGGTACCCCTTTTGCCTTTTGTTTCGTTGGGGTTTAGGGTTTAGGGTTTAGGGTTTAGGGTTTAGGTCGTTTGTTTATCATAGTATGGTTCCTGGGCTACCAAGGAGAAGATTTACATGGCACCTCTCGAGGTACCTTCGGCTGAGTTCGGCGGTTTGTGCGGTCTGCTTTTGGAGGTTTTCGTGGGGTTTAGGGTTTAGGGTTTAGGGTTTAGGTTTAGAGTTTAGGGCAGAAGTAGGGTTCTATGTACCCTAAGTAAGGTCATAAGTACAGTTACCCTTTTTTCTGATCCTTTTTTAGGGGTTTATTTCTGGTAACTCTACTTATGGCCTTACTTCGGGTACTGGGTTTAGGGTTTTCGGGTTTAGGGTTAAACCTACTTACAACTACCCATCATGAACCTTCAGGGATTAGGCTTCGAAGCGCCCACCAGCACCATTGCGTTCATGTCTTCTTGGGGTTCGGATCGCAGTGAAAAAGCCAGAGCCTTGGACCCTACTTGGAGGTGCATGGGTAGTTATAAGTAGGGTCATAAGTACCCCATAGAGAAGGTCATTATTACAGTTGCTATACTTATCACCCTACATGTAGTTACTTGTGAACCTCCAAATAAAACCGAGCCCTGAGCTCCTGACTACGCCAAGGAGGGCACCCTGTTTTCCTCCAAGTTCCGCGGTCAAGTTTTGAACCGCAAGCAACGAGAAACCTCAGCCCCCAGTTTCCAAACCTTATAAGCCTAAACCCTAAACGCTCCCTAAACCCGAAACCCGAAACCCTAAACCCTAAACTCTAAACCCTAAACCCTAAACCCTAAACCCTGAACCCTACGCAAGGTGGACCAGCACCCATGCGCTTACTTCCCTCTCTGGGACGAGCGGCGTGTGGTGACCGCGGAGCGAGCTTGGGAGCCAAGACGCCATTTGTGGTGTTTAGGGTTTAGGGTTTAGGGTTTAGGGTTTAGGGTTTAGGGTTTAGGGTTTAGGGTTTAGGGTTTCGGGCCTGTTGTCAAGGGACTAAGACTCGTACCCCTAAGGTTGTACCCCTAAAGATTCCCCTTAACAGAATTCCTCCCAATATGGCCTACTACCTTAAGGATCCTGTCCCTAAACCCTAAACCCTAAACCCTAAACCCTAAACCCTAAACCCTAAACCCTCAAAACCCAAGGGTACTAAACCTTGGGCCCAGATCTTGAGCTTGACAGACTTGAGGGGGCTGCTTGAAAGTTCGTGGGACATTTCGCTCATTTTTACCCTCAACCCTACAGACCAAAGCCCAAAGTTTAGTCCTGCTATTTGCTTAAGAACCCCCCAACAAAAATGTAGAGTATTCTTCCTTATAAGGGCAACGTAGGGTTGTTTTTTTCTTTATTTTTTGCGGGGTTTTTAAGCAAACAGTAGCGTCTGTGCCTGGGTTGCCGTTCACAGATCCAAGCATTTGAGTGCACCAAAAGAGTCAACTTCGGGTTTTAAGGTTTTGGGGTTTAGGGTTTTGGGGTTTAGGGGTTTAGGGTTTTAGGGTTTTAGGGTTTGTAGGGTTGTAGGGTTGTAGGGTTTAGGGTTTTTGGGTTTTGGGGTTTTTGGGTTTTTGGGTTTTAGGGTTTTAGGGTTGTAGGGTTGTAGGGTTTTAGGGTTTTAGGGTTTTAGGGTTTAACCCAACAGATGAGCACCATAAGCCTAAGCCCCTGCAACCCAACACTTCATGTAAACACTCAGCCCTTCACCCTAAACTACCCTCAGCCCTAAACTACCTCAACCCTAAACTACCCTCAGCCCTAAGCTACACTAAGCCCTAGACACTGAACCCCCAAGCCCTAAACCCTAAACCCTAAATCCCAAACCCCAAACCCTAAACCCTAAACCCTAAATCCGGCCCGGAGGTCCGTTGAGATGGTCTCCCGATGCGCTGCTGACGAAGTGGTGTGCGAGACTGATGCCGAGGCGCTGGGGGTTTACATTGAAGGTAGGGTTTAGGGTTTAGGGTTTATAGGGCTTAGGGCTTAGGGCTTAGGGCTTAGGGCTTAGGGCTTAGGGCTTATAGGGTTTAGTGTTTAGGGTTTAGGGTTTAGGGTTTAGGGTTTAGGGTTTACGGTCTTACAATGGGTTGTGGTCCATATACGTTCATATTCCCTTTTTGTAGGGTTTAGGTTCCGTTCTAAGCCCCTTGCAACCAAAAAGGGCGCCCTCTTTCTTCCTGGGCCACTCTTAACCCCTAAACCCCTAAACCCTAAACCCTAAACCCTAAACCCCTGTAGGTTCGTCGTCTAGGCAAAGCTGTCGGGTTTCTACTTGCAGGTTCACAGGGGCCTGCGCGGCTCGCTGTCACCGTGCTTATGCCGGCAGCACTGGCCTCCGTTGGTTCTAGAAGCCCTGCCTATAGCGCAGCCTATAGGGTTTAGGGTTTAGGGTTTAGGGTTTAGGGTCCCTAAACCTTCAAGGTCATTTATGGAGGTTTACGACAATTAGGGTTCCCTTCTAATAGGACCCCAATAAGGTACACCCTAATCTAGGAAACCCCCATAGGTTTCTCTGCTAAGGCTCGAATCCTTGCGCTCATCACCCTGCGTGGAGGCTCATTGCTAGTCGCAAATAGGCTTTACAGCAGTTCGCTAGAGCTTTTGGTGGCTAACCCTTGTTTGGGGGTGGGAGTGGGTACTCATTGTGAAAAATCCTCAGCCCGAAACCCGGAATCCTCCCCGAAGCCCTGAACCCCAAACCCTAAACCCCCTAACTCTAAACTCTGAGCCCTAAAGCCGTAGAGCCCTAAAGAGCCGCAGCTCTCTTAGGGCAGTTGCATGGTAACCCTACGAAGCTCCCCTCATCCAACCCTCCACAGCCCGAGACCGACCGAAGCTGTACAGCGGCGGAGTTTCGGGCGGAAAAGATCGATTCTCCAGCTCTCCAGGGTTTAGGGTTTGGGGTTTAGGGTTTAGGGTTTCGGGTTTGGGGGTTTAGGGTTTAGGGTTTGGGGTTTAAGGCTCTTAGGGGTTCTGAGGGGGTTCTTACAGGGCTCTTAGGGCTTCCCCCATAAGTAAATCCATTTAGGGATAATAGCCTAGTTAAGGTTACTTTCGGGTTAAAGAGCCCGCTACCCTTTAGTTCAGGAGTATGGTGATTTCTCCGGATTCTGGTCTTTTTGTCCTTATTATAAGGCGGCCCCCTCATATTTCGTGTACCCAAAAAGGGACCCTAATGTAGAGAATTCACCATATACCTTAATTGATATAGGAATCCCTCATATGATTTTGGGTATGTTTCTTTATCAAGGGGTGTTGGTCTGCCGCGCTGCGTGCGGCATGGCTTGGCCGCAGGATTCCTAAACCCTGAACCCTCTAAACCCTAAACCCTAAACCCTAAACCCTCTGAAGCCTAAGCCTCAACCCCAAACCATGAACCCTAAACCCTAAGCCCTCTAAAGCCCTACGTTGATTTTTACGGGTTTAGGGCGGGGGCTTCGGGCCAACCAGAAGGCAGAGGTTGTGAGGGGAAGGTGCTGGGGTTAAGGGTAAACTCTAAACCCTAAACCCTAAACCCTGAACCCTGAACCCTAAACCCTAAACCCTAAACCCTAAACCCTAAACCCTAAACCCTAAACCCTAAACCCTAAACCCTAAACCCTAAACCCTAAACCCTAAACCCTAACCCTTGTGTTGTTGGACTTCCTTGGCCTACAGATTCCTAGGTTACTCCTGGGTCTAGTATACACATGGGCCTTTGAGGGGTTCTTATGGAGTAGCTTGAGGGCCCGAAAGCCTACTCTTGCAAATACGCGGAACCTTAGGGCAAGTTCTCAAATCAGTAACATGCATCGGTATAGGGTTTAGGGCTAGGGTTTAGGATTTAGGGTTTATAGGGTTTAGGGTTTAGGGTTTAGGGTTTAGGGTTTAGGGTTTACGTGTGTGAGTGCCTTAGCCGTTCTCCAGCTTTACGCCCGCAATGCTAAAGGAGTTGCCTGCCCCGCTAAGGGCGATGTCGACCATCAGTAGCCAGGAGGCCAGTCTCTGGCTGCCTACATCAGACTCCCTACGCAGCATGTCCTAAGACCCTACCTACGGTTTAGGGTTTAGGGTTTAGGGTTTAGGGCTTGGGGTTTAGGGTTTAGGGTTTAGGGTTTAGGGTTTAGGGTTTAGGGACCCTCTTGACCTACAGTTTCCGGGTTCTACCTCCTACTTACGGGTAGCTACTACTATGCTGTAGGTAAACAGAGTCCCAGGTAAACCCGAAGCCCTACAACCCGAAGCCCTCAAATTCAAAGATCCGCAACAAAACCCGACCAAACGCTGCAAGCTGAGACCCTTACAAGCCCTAGGTAGGCCCTTGGGACATTTTTCATTTTCCCTTTTCGGGTTTAAGAGGATCGATATAATATTGGACTTTTTTCAGAAGGTTTTAAGGGCCCTCCTAGAGCCCAAAATACCCAAAGCCTTCAGCCCTCCCAAAGCAGAAGGAGAGGCATATCCGAGTTCCGGGGGCGGGGGTGAGAGTATCGGGGTGTAGTGGGTTGTTCTGAGGATTCAGGTATACAAATCACGCCAACAAGTAATACCTACTTGGGGCTACCGGGGAATCTAGGGTTCAGGGGCTACAGGGGGATTAGGGATCAGGGCTTAAGGCTTGAGGTTCAGGGCGTAGGGCTGAGGGTAAAACCCTAAACCCAAAACCCTAAACCCTAAACCCTACACCCTAAACCCTAAACCCTAAACCCTAAACCCTAAACCCTAAACCCTAAACCCTAATTAAACCCTAAACCCTAAACCCTAAACCCTAAACCCTAAACCCTAAACCCTAAACCCTAAACCCTAAACCCTAAACCCTAAACCCTAACCCTAGACTCTAAACCCTAAACCCTAAACCCTAAACCCTGAGGGTAATATATCCGTGCCCGAGCTTGCAGGAGGCTGAGACTGCCAGCAACGCCCCAACCGACGACGTGACCACTGGCGGAGGCCAGAGCCACCCAAAACCCTAAGCCAGGTAGGGTTTAGGGTTCAGGGGTTTAGGATGTTGCGCGGATTTTAATCTTTCAAAGGGTGCTACAAGCCCAAACCTTGACAGGCTACCGGGCCCGTTTTGTGAATGGGCCTGGAGTTTGCATGCGCTGCTTTGAGAGCCTTTGGGAAGTCAAAGCCCTAAGACCTCGAAGCCCCAAACGCCGTCTAGCTTTGTTCCTATGACCCAAAGTGCTACTTGCTTCCCTTCTGCTAGGGACCGGTTTCTTGACCGGCCCGAGTAGACAGCACATAGAGGTTCCTGCTTTCCCCCTAGAACAAGCATCTTAAACCCCAAGCCTTGTAAGCGGGCACGATTTCTTAAGCCCTAATGAATCCTTAGTCGATACACTCTTCCTGTACCCTTCCCTTCCTGTTGACCAACCCTGAAGCACTAGGTCCTTGGCGTCCCTGACAGCTACTTACTATTAGCTTGAGAGCCCCCCAAAAAACAAAACAATAGTCATCCCTATACGACCCTCATAAGGAAGATTGTTTTCCAATTTTTTGGGGGGTTCTTAAGCAATTGGTAGACCAGGGCCAAAGACGTAGTCCAGCAGGCTCCCCGTCATCGCGCCAGCCTCCTTTGCCACCGCCCAGCTTGGAGGCAGCCTATGCATCATTGTTTTGCAATGTTTGCTCCTATTGTTGTTTTTTTGGAAGTGTTACAGTGTAATCTATGTAGGACTTCAGTACAGTTTAATAGTCAATGCTATAGTATACTGGAACATAATAACGACATGTTATCTTGTAAGGTATGATATGATAAGATCAGATATGGCCGGATAAGGCAATGGATTGCATTACATCATCTCGTGTCACATGTTGCCATGTTAAGTATCATGTCACACAGCGCAATGCCTCCAGCCTATCAGATTATAGTAGCATGTTACAGTCTGTGGTATCAATATTGTGTTATACGGTAATGCTCCTTGCCCGAGGCTCCTCATATGCTCGAACAACACAACACGGCCCTAGGTTTCAATCCGAGCTGCATTTGGGGCAGGGGAGACCCTAAACCCTAAACCCTAAACCTAAACCCTAAACCCTAAACCCTAAACCCTAAACCCTAAACCCTAAACCCTAGGGGGGGGTCGGGGGGGTGGGGGGGGTGTGGGGGCAGACGAGCTTAGGGCTGACCCTGAACCCTGCACCCTACACCCTAAACCCTAAACCCGAAGCTTGGCCCTAAACCCTAAACCCTAAACCCTCAGCCCTCAGCCCTCAACCCTAGACCCTAGACCCTAACCCTAAACCCTAAACCCTGGGTTTTGGGGTTTTGGGGTTTTAGGCTTAGGGCGGGCAGGCCTCCGAGCCACCGCCCGTCAAGAACACCTTCATCCACTTCGACGACGCCCCGCAGCCGGACCGGAAGCAGTATGGTTTAGGGTTTAGGGGGTTTAGGGGTTTAGGGTTCATGGTTTAGGGGTTTAGGGTTTAGGGTTCCGGGATCTACGATTTGCTTAAGAACCCCCCCAAAAAAACATAAATAAATAACAATAATAATAATAAGAAGAAATATATATATATATATACACAAGTAAATGAAGATCCCTCTCTTGCCTTCATAAGGAGGTTTATTGTTTGGGGGGACTCTAGTAGGTATTCATCTCCAGGTCTGCCACCCCCCACCCACCCCTTGCACCAAAGCCTTAAAATCCCAAACACCCAGAGACTCCAAAACCCCTTAATTAAGGAATATACCTTAAATTATAATAGGAACCCTAATATGATTTAAGGTATATTCCTTAATTAAGAGGTTTTGGAGTCTCTGGGCACTAAACCACTAAATCCCCTTCAATAGTACATGTACTCCCCCCATGTACCCTAACTATAATGGAACCTAAACGGGAGTATCTCCTCTCACTGTAAAGCTTTGCCTAGTTGAGCCGCAACCCTAAACTCCAAGAAAGACCGCGCCTCGAGACTAGACCCCTGCAGGCCCTACAGTAGACCCTAAGCCCTAAACCCCTAAAGCCCCAGAAGCACATAAGCCTAAACCCGAACCCCTAGGTAACAAGTATGATAACTGCAAGTATCACCCTACTGAGGGTACGTGTCACCCGGCATATTATATAGCCCATGAACCTCCAAGTATGATCACCTCAATCCCCAACATGATCACCTGGCCCTAAACCCTAAACCGCCGTATAAACCCTATAAACCCTATAAACCCTATACACCCTATAAACCCTATAAACCCTATAAACCCTATACACCCGATACACCCTATACACCCTCTAAACCCTATAAACCCGATAAGCCCTAGAAGCCCTATAAACCCTATAAACCCTATAAACCCTATAAACCCTATAAACCCTATAAACCCTATAAACCCTATAAACCCTATAAACCCTATAAACCCTATAAACCCAAAACCCTATAAACCCTAAACCCTCAACCCTATAAACCCCAAGTCCCCCCAAAAAAAGACACCCTAAACCCGAAACCCTAAACTCTCTCTATCATATAATTAATAATTTAAACCTTAATGGGGAACGTGGCCATTGGCAAAAAAACCGTGGCCATTGGCAAAAAAGCCGTGGCCATTGGCAAAAAAGCCGTGGCCATTGGCAAATTCGCCAATGGCCACGGGAAAGTTGCCAATGGCCACGGCTTTTTTGCCAATGGCCACGGCTTTTTTGCCAATGGCCACGGCTTTTTCTGCCAATGGCCACGGCTTTTTTTGCCAATGGCCACGGCTTTTTTGCCAATGGCCACGGCTTTTTTCCCCCCACCCCCCCACCCCACCCCCAACCCCCACCCCCCCCCCCCCCCCCACCCCCCCCCACACCCCCCCCCACCCCCCCACCCCCCCCCAACCCCCCCCCACCCCCCCCCCCCCCCACCCCCCCCACCCCCCCCCACCCCGAGAACGAACGCAAGCAGAACGAAGACGAGCAGAGAAATACGAGCAGAGAGAGAACGAATACGGGTAGTTGGTTCTAGGGTGGGTTGGGGATTGGCTCGAACTGGAATGGTTCGAGGGTGGGGTGGGGGAAAACAAAACATGAGGTTAACAAAATTAGGTTTTTTTTGTCAATCCGGACCAACACTTTTGGTTCTACCTTCGGTCTGGGGAAAGCAAGCGCGAAGACAAGGGACATGCGACAAAGCCGACGAGCACGAAGGGAGGGGACATACGACAAACCCTAAGAGCGCGAAGGGAAGGGACATGCGACGAATCTGTAGACTTTTCATCAAACCATACGAGCACGAAGGGAGGGGACATACGACAAACCCTACGAGCACGAAGGGAGGCATACGACAAACCCTAAGAGCACGAAGGAAGAGGGCGTACGACAAACCTGTAGACCTCTCGTCAAACCCTACGAGCACGAAGGGAGGGGACATACGACAAACCTCTAACGTAAACCCGTACATTTCTCAATGTTTTGGGATTCTCTGCAAGCAGAAGAAAAGGGACATACGACAAAGCCGACGAGCACGAAGGGAGGGGACATACGACAAACCTCTGAAAACAAAACCTCAGTTTCTTAATTCTTGGGATTCTCTGCAAGCAGACGAAGAGGGACATACGACAAAGCCGACGAGCACGAAGGGAGGGGACATACGACAAAATCTAAGAGCACGAAGGGAGGGGACGTACGACAAACCTGTAGACCTCTCATCAAACCCTACGAGCATGAAGGGAGGGACATACGACAAACCCTACGAGCACGAAGAGAGGGGACATACGACGAACCTCTAGGCCTCTCATCAAACCCTACGAGCAGGAGCCAACATGAGGCGAGGTCACCGGGGCACTAATTGGAAAGCAACCATGTGGAAGCCAGGCAGCTTAAAGTGTGCCAAACACAACCAACAAGACGGCCAAAAATAGGCAGGGTCACCGGGGAAAACGAACACGAGCAAAGTGAATATGAGCAGAAAGAGAACGAATACGAGCAGACTGACATCGAGCAGAGAGCGAAGACGAGCAGAATGAATACGAGCAGAAAGAGACTGAGTACGAGCAGACTCAGTACGAGCAGAAAGACAGCGAAAACGAGCGGACTGAAATCGAGCAGAGAGAGAACGAATACGTGCAGAAAAAGCACGAATACGAGCAGAAAGAGCACGAACACGAGCAAAATGAATATGAGCAGAAAGAGAACGAATACGAGCAGAATGACTACGAGCAGAGAGAGAACGAAGACGAGCAGACTGAAATCGAGCAGAGAGAGAGAGAGAGAGAGAACGAACACGAACAGAATGAATACGAGAAGAAAAACAACGAAAACGAGCGGACTGAAATCGAGCAGAGAGAGAACGAATACGAGCAGAATGAATACGAGCAGAACGAGAACGAACACGAGACGAGCAGATCAGAAAAAGAACGAATACGAGCAGAATGAATACGAGCAGAAAGAAACGCATACGAGCAGAATGGAAACCAAGCAGAATGACAAAGAACACGAGCAGAATGAATAAATGAGGTTGGAGGACAGGGCTTGCTGAGGAAAAATGTGAACTTTATATTTCTTAATGTTTTGGGATTCTCTGGGTGGGTGGGTTTTTTTCTAGAGTCCAGACAGCGGCTCTACTAGAGATTGCTCGAGCCAGAGCTGCTGAACCCTAAACCCTAAACCCTAATTCCTATAAACCCCAAGTCCCCCCCAAAAAAAGACAGCGCCAGGACTACACCTCCACGGTGTCTGGCCCGGCAGTGCTCCGGTCGGTGGCCTCGCCGCCACAGCGCAGGGGCTCGGAGGCGGGTCTAGGGTTTAGGGTTTAGGGTTTAGGGTCTAGGGTCTAGGGTCTAGGGTTTAGGGTGATTTTTTTTTTTGGGGGGGGGGAGGGGGGGGGGGTGAGCGGAGGCTGGGGGAGGCTAGGCTTTTGGGGTTTAGGGTCTTAGGGTTTAGGCTTTTAGGGTTTTAGCCGTTGAAGGTTTGCGGTTGACGTCTTATATGGTTTTGGCGTTTAAACTTCGAATTTTGGAGTTTGTTGTTTTTAGGACTCAGGGATTCACAGTTTCTATAGGGTTTCGCTAGAGTGTTCGGCTTCTGGGAGAAGGGTCCTAACCAGGACGACCCTGAACTCTAATCCCTACGGAGTTTAGGGTTTTAGGGTTTAGGGGAACCCTAGACCGAAGCTTTTTTTAATCGTTTCTGGGTGGCTGCGGAAGCGGTTGTGCCCCTTATCAGGGTTCAGGGTGTTTGCTCCTTAAACACCTTAGGGGTTTCAGGCTTTGAGGTTTAGGGTTTCACTTTTGGCCTTCCGTGAAGCTTCATGGGCCGTTAGAACTGGCATTATATCTCTAGGCTGGCTGTTGCTTTACCGGCTGACCACCTTGACTGCAGTGGATCTAAGTCGCTCACAGCGACCGACCGCCATCGGTGGGGGTTTAGGCGGTACAGTAATCAGTCGAGGTGTATAGGGCAGGGAGTTGACGCAGGTTTACAGGGGCTTGTCTAAGGCTTCATCTTACTGGGGACAAAAGGTGTTGGGATGTAGGGGCTTTAGGGCTCAAGTATACCACTAATGACACCTGAGCCCTAAACCTTAAACCCTAAATCCTAAACCCTAAATCCTAAACCCTAAACCCTAAACCCTAAACCCTAAACCCTAAACCCTAAACCCTAAACCCTAAACCCTAAACCCTAAACCCTAAACCCTAAACCCCTAGATAAGCACACCAAGACTTGGCAGGGACACCTCGACGAAGCCTTGGCGGAAGCGGACGAGTTCCAGGCCCCGCGCTTTGCACTTTCTACTTGGAGGTTCATGGGTTTAGGGTTTAGGGTTTAGGGTTTAGGGTTTAGGGTTTAGGGTTTAGGGTTTAGGGTTTAGGGTTTAGGGTTTAGGGTTTAGGGTTTAGGGTTTAGGGTTAGGGTTTAGGGTTTCGGGTTTGGGGTTTGGGGTTTAGGGTTTAGGGTTAGGGTTTAGGGTTTAGGGTTTGGGGTTTGGGGTTTAGGGTTTAGGGTTAGGGTTTAGCGTTCATGTTTGTCAAAATGATTGTCCCTTTTTGGATCCCTATTATATTACGGCACCTAATATTTAGGGTTACCCCAAAGGGATCATAATTTTGATGACCACCCATGGGTAGTTGTAAGTAAGTACCCTAAATAGGATTACAGGAAAATGTCACCTTAGTTATAACCCTACTTCTAACTACCCCCAAACTAGTAGGATTCCCTCAGAATAAGGATGCCCCGTTCCTCCACCATTTTGGAAACCACCATCTGTCAGATTTGCCCTGTAACCCTAAACCCTAAACCCTCAACCCTAAACCCTAAACCCTCAACCCTCAACCCTAAACCCCAAACCGTAAACCCTAAACCCGAAACCCTAACCCCTAAACCCTAAACCCTAAAACCCTAAACCCTAAACCCGAAACCCTAAACCCTAAACCCTAACCCTAAACCCGAAACTCTAATCCCGAAACCCTAAACCCTATGTCTTGTCAAGACAGGGTGCAATGGGCCCCCCAACCTAGATTAAGAATCCCAGGCTGTCTTGCCGAGGGCGAAGCAGAGGGCCCAACCCCTAACCCAGAAAGGTTTAGGCTTTAGGGTTTAGGGTTTGGGGTTTAGATTTAGGGTTTAGGGTTTAGGGTTTAAGGGAGTAAAGGAGGGACCCTAAGCAGGGACCGCAGGGGGTTACTTGGGGGCCATTTAGAGGCTACTTATGTATATAGGGACTATATAAGGTATATACAGGGGTTATACAAGGACAAAGATCAAGGGTCCCTTCTAGGGGTCCCTCCGTATACCCCTTAAAAACTGGCCTCTCTCACCTTTCTTCGTCATGGCTTGCGATGGCAGAGTCAAAGGCTGGGCAGCAGGAAGCTTAGCTTCACGAACCCTAAGACCCTAAACCCTAAACCCTAAACCTTTAACCCTTAACTTGAGTCATAAGCCTTCTAGACCTTGTAAGCCATGTAAGCCTTCCAAACCTGATATTCCCTGAACCCTTAACCTTATGAACCTTATATAAGCCCTAAACCCTTAGCCTTATAAACCTTATAAGCCCTAAACCCTAAACCCTAAACCCGATATCAAGCCGAAGCCTCTCGGAGTGGCAGAAATAACGGGCGTCGCAGCTCACAGAACCAAAGCCCTCAAGGCACAGAGTTCCTTCATCCCCAAGAAGTCAGCATCAGCAACGCTTACTCAAGGAATACCCAGAGACTCCAAAAACCCTTAATTAAGGAATATACCTTAAATCATATTAGGGTTCCTATTATAATTTAAGGTATATTCCTTCATTAAGGGGTTTTGGAGTCTCTGGGTAGAGGCCTGGGTAACCCTTACTTCGTAGGAAGAGTAGCCATAGTTCGGAGATGGCTCTCTATCAGAATTTAGGGTATATTGCTTACATTGAGGGGTGCCGGTAAGGTTCCACAAGGGGCATGGCCTTCATGGACAACCCTAAACCCGAAACCCTAAACCCTGGACCCTAAACCCTAAACCCTCCGGGTTTATGGAGGTTTCGCATGGCTTCGCCCAAGACGCCATGACAATGGTAATTACCATGCTATACTTGGAGGTTCATGGGTAGTTATGAGTAGGGTTATGAGTATAGTAGCTGCAATTGCAACCTTACTTGGGGGTACTTGTATCCCTACTTATACCCATGAACCTCCAAGTAGGTACCTTGCAGTCCACCGAATACTTCGTGCTCCATTGCTGCGCTTGTAATTGGCGAACCACATGATTCCTGTCGAGACCACATGCTGGTAAAGAGTCAAGAGTGAGGTTAGAACCCTTAAAACCCGCCCTGTGGATCCAAAGAGTGCACCCCAAACCCAAATCCTAAACCTAAGCCCGAAACCTTGAACCTACAGTAAACCCGAAACCCTAAACCCTAAACCCCAAAAGCGCAGGAGGAGGAGGACGAAGAGGAGGTTGCTCTGCCTTCTGTGGGGTCCGCAGGCCATGCAACAGGCACGGCTTTCGATGGAGGAACTTGGAAGCCTTAAGGGGTGGGTTTAGGATGTAGGGTTCAGGGTTGAGGGTTGAGGGTTGAGGGTTTAGGGTTTAGGGTTTAGGGCTGGGGCGATGTTAGGGAGTTTGCCGGTTATTTCCTACCTACTTGCTTAGAAAGACAAATGTTCTTCCTTTTCAGGGCAATATAGGGGTCATCATCCTTTAGTTTTTTGGGGGCTAAACCGTAGTTTCGGGTGGTTTCCACACGATTGTTTTACATTACTGGGGATGTTTCCCCTTATACGAAGAGTCCTCAATAGGGATTATAATAGGGGGCACTATAATCCCTGTTAAGGACTGTTAGTCTGAGGGGGAACATCCCAACATATTTCCTTATAGGATCTAATTGTATTGTGTATTATCTTATACTGATATATCTTATATGATTTTACATGTTTGTTATGATACATAACTACATAATAGATATACTGCCTACTGCACATTGTCCCCCAAAGTTCTGCTTCGCAGCCGGGCTGAGTTATGAATTGCGGCATCCTTCGAGCGCTCATCTGGGCTTCATACTCGGCTGCACCGCCGAGCAGGTTTAGGGTTTAGGGTTTAGGGTCTAGGGTTTAGGGGTTCATGAAGTTTAGGGGTTTCAGTTTCAGCGAGACGCGCTGCCATGGCGCGAGACGAACCGCTGACGATCGACGAGTGCTTGCGCGTGCTGGGCCATGAGCGTGCCCTTGAGCTGCTCCTTACTTCGCCTTTGGTTGAACTTTAAACTTTTTGGGTTTCCTTATTTGGTAGAAATGTTAAAGTTTAACAATTTCTTCCCCTTGGTTATTGGAGAAGTAAGGCTCACTCCACACGTTCGGAAACTAGGCTTTTCCCTCCAGTGGAGCACGGCTTTTTTTCCCTGAGGTTCGGCTTCAGGTTCCCTCCTTAGACTCTAAAACCTTTCTAAGTGTTTCATTCCTTGGATTCTCTTGCGGGCCTAGGAAAGCAAGAGGGGCTCCGATGACCAAGATGCTGGATGGCTTGCCTTACCGGCGGGTTGCCTGTGTCTTAGGGATACTTGGAAACTAACTTTTTAATTTTGGGTACCTGAACTCCTAAGTTCCTAAGAAATCGCTAAAATTAGTAGTTTTTGCTAGGGTTCCAAGTTCAGTATAGGTGTTGGTGTCGGCACCGTTGGGGCATCCTGGGCAGCGTTTTTTGCTTCTCAGGGCCTTCCCGTGTCCGTGTATGATCGGACGCCCGCCGCGCTTGAGAAGGGCTTAGCCGACGCACGAGCAGCCTCCTAGCAGTCGAAGAAGGTACCCTTTTTTCACTTTTGGTTTTCATTAACCCTAAACCCTAAATCCTAAACCCTATACCCTAAACTGAAGACTAGTAAACTCCTTCTATTCTCCCAGGAAGCGAGCCTTTCGCTTTCCCAAATAGCTCCGCTGCTCGACTTCCCTCTAGGAGCCCGTGACTTGGGATATGTTTCACCTTGTACGAACAGTCCTTAATAGGGATCTTTGTTCTCGTATCCCAAGAGTCCTTCATAGGGATTATAATAGAGGGTACTATAACCACAATTGTGGACTGTTAGTATAAGGGGAAACATCCCAATCCTAAACCCTAAACCCTAAACCCTAAACCCTAAACCCCAAACCCCAATTATGGACTGTTAGCATAAGGGCGAAGTAAGGCCCTGGCACGTCTGGAGGCTGCTGGGCTGTTGGCCGAGGATTCCTGGGGTATAGGGTTTAGGGTTTAGGGTTTGGGGTTTGGGGTTTGGGGTTTGGGTTTAGGGTTTAGGGGTGTCCCGCCCCCTAGGTTCCCCGCTTTTAATTTACCGTAGTTAGGCTTAGCTATCCCTAACATAGCCTTAGTTTCTTGGGGGAATAGGGGGCATAGACGGGGGTAGTAGGGGAACATCCCTGCACCCTAATTAAACCCTAAACCCTAAACCCTAAACCCTAAACCCTAAACCCCAACCCCCAAACCCTAAACCCTAAACCCTAAACCCCAGAAGGATGCTGACCATGCCGCGACCCGCCTCCGCGCGGCGGACAGCCTCGAGGCCGCAGTGGCCGAGGCGGACTTCGTGCAAGAGACCGTCTATGAGGACTATGGGCTGAAGGCCCCTTGCTAGCATATATATATATATATATATGTATATATATATATATATATCTTTATGTATTTCTTTGTTTATTTTATTTATATGTATATGTATATGTATATGTATATGTATATGTATAGGTACATGTATATGTATATGTATATAATGAAGACTCTGGGCGAAGGCCCTTTTGGTAGCCCGGTGGTGCCCTTTTTCCCTTTCTTTCTTCTTTTTGCTCTCACGGTTCCCTTACAAAGTAGTTCAACCCAAAACCTGGGTGCCCTTCCGATAATATTGGTTACTGGGCTACCAAAGAGGCACCCTAAACCCTAAACCCTAACCCCTAACCCCTAAACCCTAAACCCTAAACCCTAAACCCCAATGGTTCCTGGGCTACCAAAGAGGCGGAGGTGTGGCGGTCCATCGAGCGCCACGCGCCGCCCGAGGCCGTGATCGCGTCGTCCACGAGCGGGCTGCTCATCTCCCAGCTGGCGGAGGCCCTGAAGAGGCCGGAACGAGCCCTTGCAGCTTAGGGGTTTTTGGGAATGTTGTTGTTGTTTTGTTTAGATTTTATCCTTTTTTTTTTTTTGGGGGGGGGGGGTACTGTAATTCCTTCCTAGTTTTTTTTGGGATCTGTAATTCCTAAGAAGCAGCTAAAATTTGAATTTTTGCCAGGGTTCCAAGTTCAGTAGAGGTAGCACATCCCTTCAACCCTCCCCATCTCATCAACCTGGTGGAATTGGTTCCTGGACCTTGTACCGACACCGGTGTCCTTGAGTCAGTGAAGCAGTTCTACAAGATGCTTGGAAAAGCCCCGGTGGTCCTGTTAAAAGAGGTTGGAGGGCACATCGCGAATCGCTTGCAGGCGGCTGTGTGGCGAGAGGCCATAAGCCTCGTACACCGCGGCGTCGCAACGGTTGAGGATGTGGATACTGCTCTCCACGAGGGCCCCGGAGTGCGCTGGGCCCTCCTGGGCCAGCATGCCATCTTCGACCTCGGGGGCGGAGAGGCGGCTTACCGCGGGCTCTTTGAAGGAATTGGCAAAAGCTGCTTCGAGCAACTGGTTTGGCCTTCCATGGACACATGGAGCGCTGTTCCGGATGAGGGGAAGGAGGCCTGCATCGCAGGGATTGAGCAGTGGTATCGCCAGGCCGGTTGAGGGCAAGTCTTCTGGTAGGTGTTCAGAACACGCCAGACGACATGGGCTAGAGTATACGATGTGTAAGCACCTGCGATGGCTGCATCTCTGTGTTCTGTGTGTGAATGTACATGTAGATGTATCGTTTGGCAGATATTCGGACTGCGTAGGGCCCCTTTGGCTCAGTTTGCAATGCTACAATTACCCAAAACCCTAAACCCTAGCTGAACAAATATAAGAGAAATGGACCCAATACCTTTTAGTTATCCTTGTTGCATTTTCGGGGACAGGCTGGCAGCAGCCGCCAAGATTTGGCTGCCTGGCGCGACGCTCGGCTGGCGGCGGTCATCCAAGAGAAGCGGCGCCATCCCGTGGGGCAAAGGCCAGCACCCTGAGGATCCATGTACCCATATCTACCAATTGCTTAAGAACCCCCCAAAAAACACAATATACTCTTCCTTATAAGGGCAATATAGGGATTCTTACGTGTTTTTTTTTTTTTTTTTTGGGGGGGGGGGTTTTTTAAACATATAGTAGATATGGCATATACTTGGGCCCTAAAGCTATGACATAGGAACCCCTGTAAGGCCCAGGTATATACGGTATAGGTGCATGCATGGCTCCTGAGGGGCAAAGTTTGGGGCTTCCAGGGGTTCACAAGGGTCCTTTCTTTATATCTTTTAACGTACTTCGGATGTTCACCCTTATACCAGCAGTCCTTACTAGGGATTATCGTACTTCCTATTACAATCCCTATCCAGGACTCTTGGTATAAGGGGGAACATCCCAACTGCTTACCCAAGACAAAGACAGATAACCCAAGTGCTTCGCGCTTCGCAAAGGCTTTGAGTCTCGTTGGGGATACAGGTGAGGCATCTATAGAACCCAAAGATCCAATCACTTGTATTACATAGTGATAGTAGCTTTAGCGCCCAAGTATATACTATATGGACCTTGCGGTCACTACAGGCTTGTGTAACCCTACCTGCAACCCCCCCCCCCCCCCCCCCCCCCCCTTAAGCGTAAACCTTGTAGGGCTTCGGCTTTCCAGGTTTATGGCTGCTTCTCTCCTCAACCCTACAAGCCCTGGAAAGCTGGAAGGCCCCAAAGCCTATGTAAAAAAAACCTAAACCCTAAACCCTAAATCCTAAGCCTCGAAGAAGCCAAGACGCACCCCCCTGAGGTCCCCTTGAGAGTCAGAAGCCGTCTGAGAAATCCGTTGATCGACAGCTTCCTGGTTGTCAGGGTTCAGGCTTCAGGGTTATGTAGGGTTGGTTTAGGGTTAGGGTTCAGGGTTCAGGGTTTAGGGCTTCGGGTTTAGGGTTCCGCGTTCAGGGTTTAGGGTTTAGGGTTTAGGTTTCAGAATTTCAGGGTCGGGTCTCGGGTTGCCATTACTTATAGAGTTTAGGCTTGAGGAAATAAAGTCTGAAACCCTTAGCTCCGGCACTCTGCTAACCTCCAAGAGGGGGAGCGGCGTGCTTTGCAGTAGACTTTTTGGGTCCATGTCCTTTTTGCATGTAACACCTGATGTAAAGGTACACAGGCTACTCTGGGACATCCCTAAACTCCAAACCACCCTCAGCCCGTAAACCCTAAACCCTAAACCCTAAACCCTAAACCCTAAACCCTAAACCCTAAACCCTAAACCCGAAACCCCTAAACCCTAAACCCCTAAACCCCTAAACCCCTAAACCCCTAAACCGACAATTGACGCCTGCAGTGTAGCATGGGAGGCTTTGAGGTTTTCGGGTCGACGAGCTTCAGGGTTGAGGGTTTACAAAACCTAAACCCCAAACCCTAAACATCCCTAAACCCCAAACCCTAAACCCCAAACCCTAAACATCCCTAAACCCCAAACCCAAAACCCCAAACCCTAAACATCCCTAAACCCCAAACCCTAAACCCCAAACCCTAAACCCCAAACCCCAAACCCCAAACCCCAAACCCCAAACCCCAATACCCAAACCCCAAACCCCAAACCCTAAACCCTAAACCCCAAACCCTAAACCCCAAACCCTAAACCCTGGACCCCAGGGTTTGGGAAGCTGGCAGCCGGAGTCGGCCCTTATTCCCTTGTAATGATAGGAGTTGGAGTACCTTTAGGGTTTAGGGTTTAGGGTTTAGGGTTTAGGGTTTAGGGTAAGTGTCTTTTGCACCTCCATAGACAAAGCAGGATGCTATGTAGGTACATGGACCCTTAGGGCCTTAAAACAAGTTCAAGGCTAAGCAGGTTACTGGTTTAGGGTTTAGGGTTTAGGGTTTAGGGTTTAGGGTTTAGGGTTTAGGGTTTAGGGTTTAGGTTTGGGGTTTGGGGTTTGGGGTTTGTTCCTCTGCTACTCCGGGATCTGGCGCCGCAAGAGGTCTCGGGGTTAGCTTTCAGGGAACCCTGCATAGCCTCCTCCAAGAAAACCCCGAACCCTAACCCTAAACCCTAAACCCTAAACTCTTCATTCTTGGGTCTACGTAGGTTACTCCAGTTGCAGACCCGAAGCCTATTTAACGCCCCAGTTCAGGGTTTAGGGCTCGGGGTTTAGAGTTTAGAGGGTTTAGGCTTTAGGGTCAGAAACACAAGACATAAAACTTGAGTCCTTAAACCCGCAAACGCATGTACTTTGGTGACGCTGAGGCAAAGGTCCTAAGCCCCAAGCCATCAGCCTCCACTCAGGCTTCAGAAACGTCCAGGAGCACGTGGGGGGTGTTCCACTTTCGGTTTTCCTTATCTGAAACCTGTACAAGGGATACACAAAGCCTGAACTATAAACACACCCTTTCAGGGTTAATGTCCTACAACACTCAATACCCTAAACCTTAAACCCTAAACCCTCAATCATCCCAAGTCACCCTGGGTGCCGGAGGCAACTGCCGACCCTGCGCTCACGCCTGGCCCGGATCGCCATGCTTATGCACCTGGGTTTCGGGGCCATAAACCCTAAACCCTAAACCCCTAAACCCCTAAGCCCCTAAACCCTAAACCCTCTCATACGCCCGAGTGCTTCTAGGTTTCGCGGCCCCCTAAACCCCTAATCCCACTGTGCGGGTTGACATGGAGGTCAAAGTAGGACCCCACATAAACTCTACCATCTACTTAAGAACCCCCCCCCCCCCCCCCAAAAAAAAAAAACAAAAAAAAACACGCACACACACACAATGCAAGATAGCAATCCCTACATGACCCTTTCAGGGAAGTTTTTTTTTGTTTTTTCTTTTGGGGGGGGGGGGGGGGGGAGGGGAGGGGAGGGGAGGGAGGGAGGGCTCTTAAGCAACCAGTAGAATTTCATCAAACCCTACGGACTTCCAGATTATTGGGGTGTGTTGGGGGCCCGTCGACTCCGGCCATCTTCCTCCGAAGCTTACTGTTACAGGGACCTTCCAGCAAGACCCACCCCGGAAGTCCACGAAAGGGTTTGGGGCTTAGGGCTTAGGGCTTTTTAGGGTTTAGGGTTTGGGGTTTAGGGCTAGGAGATATAGGTCCTTGTTTGCAAGACGTACCTCCAACTGAAGTCCTAGATACTTAACCTGGAAAGGGGAAGTACATTGACCTGGGAGCCCGAGCCCTCTGGATGAGGGTTTAGGGTTTGGGGTTTAGGGTTTAGGGTTTAGGGTTTAGGGTGGAGGGGTTTAGGGTTTAGGGTTTAGGGTTTAGGGTTTGGGGTTTAGGGTTAGGGTTTAGGGTTTAGTGGGGTTTAGGGCTCATCCGTCTGTTTTCACGTCGGAGTTTCGAGTGAAAGCCCGAAGCCTTGCACACCCACGCGCCCAAAAGATCCCAAAACCCTGGGCCGTAAATCAGACTTTCTGGAGGGGAGGGGGGGGGGGGATGCCTCAGCAGACCTCAGCCTAAAGGGAGTAACCTCATATATCCTTAAAAGGGAAATCTACCAATGATGAACCCTAAACCCTAAACCCTAAACCCTAAACCCTAAACCCTAAACCCTAAACCCTAAACCCTAAACCCTAAACCCTAAACCCTATCCCCGTTTTTTCAGGGTAAGAAACCTGGTAGCCCAGAGGCACCCTTTACCCGTTTTTTGGTTCTGGGTTCCCTTGCAAAGTAACCAACCCCATAAAAGGGTGCCCTTATTGTAAATATATATGGTTGCTGGGCTACCAAGACCCTAAACCCTAAACCCTAAACCCTAAACCCTAAACCCTAAACCCTAAACCCTGAAACCTAAACCCTGAACCCTAATATAGTACACACAAGGTACTGTAGCTGGAGATCAGCCACACGTTTCCTGATCCTTGCGCAGTCACATCTGTAGGTTGGGATGTTCCCCCTTATACTAACAGCTCCTCAATAGGGATTATAGTAGGGGGTACTGTAATCCCGGTTAAGGAGTGTTAGTATAAGAGGGAACATCCCAATCTGTAGGGTTTCAGGCTGGCAGGCATGTATATTGAAGCAGCGAAAATAATGGTTCAGCAGTGAAAATTCACACCCTAAGCCCTAAACCCTAAACCCTAACCCTAAACCCTTGTGTCTGGGTGTGGGGGATCCTTGTGGGGTTGCGCAGTGTCTTGTTGCTACCCGGCTTCGTGTGCTATCATACACCCAAAGGCCCCCAAAAGACTCAGGCTGAAAACAGTCTGGCCGCCTGACTCGCTTCGTTCCAGCTGCTTTTACGACCCAAGAGCCACAGAAGTTTTACACAAGATGCCCGGCTCGTCATCACTTGATCATCAACATCGAGTCTCAGCCCCCCGCATGGTGGTCGGGATATGGGGCTGGTTCCTGGTTACGTGCCGCCAGAAGATGTTTAGTGCCCGAAACCCCCAAACAAGCAGAACTGCCTGTAAGATTTAGGGGTTTACGCCTACGCTTTCACCTCAAGCACCCGACGGTTGCCTCTTCTGCCACATGGCTTCAGAGACCATGCTGCCAGCCGGCTGCTGCCGGCAACCACTGGTCGAAGTCGACAAGCGAGGTCCGGTTGACGTGGGGATTGCAACGGCGACTTGAAGGCAAGTAATCCCCTCTCCCGAATATTAATCTCCCCTTCCCCCTAGCATTATGTACTCCCATT